GCCATGTTGTCGTGTTAGTGTAGGTGTATCTGGAAGGGTGGGGGGAGAGAGCTCTAGATAACATGGGCAATGAATGGAGAGTTAAGTATAATGAATGTTCACAGGTGGTCTTTTTAAGTCGTCCTGCTGATAAACCTAGTTTAATTACTAAGCTGTTTTAATTAAAGGGTTTTTAAATAAAGATATTACAAGGACTTCAAGGGAAATAAGTCACTTGACTTTTTCGGTTTTCCTATGAAATTTTAAAACAGAAACGATAATTGTACTTGGGTTTTCCTGTACTTAAATAAACTTACGTCCAGTGCCCCAGTGTACTAACTGTGCCACCTTCAGTAGCGTGCATCATTTGGACGATGGTCTTCATTGCAGCTGGTGTGGTCTTCCCTGCTCGCCTGCCAGCCATGTTTGGCTACTGACGACCTTAATGTTGGACATTACAGCTCACCGCCCTTAAGCTGACAAAGAACCCATTGGGTCCTCCACACGACATGGGGGGGGGGGGGGATGGAGATCACTACCAAGGGCTCTGATTCTGCTAACTTATTTACCTGGCAGGCGGTTTTCCCAGCAGGCGGTTTTCCAGGCAGGCAGTGTTCCAGGCAGGCAGTGTTCCAGGCAGGCAGTGTTCCAGGCAGGCAGTGTTCCTGGCAGGCAGTGTTCCTGGCAGGCAGTGTTCACTTCTGCATCAGCGTGTATGACTGGTGGTGTTTGGATATATTTGTGAGAGCATGCAAGACTGGCACCTCGGGTCACACCTCCAGGAGAGGCCACAGCAGCCGCGATCCCAGGGAAGGTCAGCAGCCCTGACCGTAGGAGAGGCCAGCAGCCAAGACCTCAGAAGAGGTCAGCAGCTTTAACCCAAGGAGGTCACAGCAACCATGACCTCAGGAGATAGATGTGTCAGTGCACATGTTGCTCAACACAGTGCAGGTACCGTGTAGCAAGAGGTACCTGGCAGGTCACAAGAATCTCTTTTGACCTTGCTGCAAGGTCCTGGTCTTTATTTAAACAAGTGAACGAAAGAATGCGTCAGATCACAAACTGAAACACCATGCTTGCTATACAATCATCATTGCTTTATTACGACCATACCTCAGACCTAGAATACTGAAGTCTCCATCTCAGACACCGTATATGATGTTAGGTTTCATGCCACCCAACATTTACGGTGTCTGTACATACAGTAAGTACTTATGTTCCTGAAGTACATACAGTAAGTACTTAAGTACTTACTGTACGTACTTCAGGAACATATCTTCACAATCCACGAGATTCCTTTATATTTTTTGCCTTTATTGACCACACACTCGTGCAAGACAGCGACCCTTGCCACCAGGAGGCCCGGTCCATGACTAGGTCTCTTGGTGGATCAGGGGCTGATCAACCAGGCTGTTACTTCTGGCCGCACGTAGTTCAATGTACGAACCACAGCCAGGCTAATCCGGCACTAACTTGAGGTATCTGTCCAGCTCCCTCTTGAAGACAACCAGGGGTCTATTGGTAATCTTTTTGACTACCGGCACAGGATGAGTATGGGGTGTATAATAAACGTATTGAACTAACTATGTTAGTCCAGGATAGCACTACCACCCCTGGATAGCACTACCACCCCTGGATAGCACTACCACCCCAGGATAACACTACCACCCCAGGATAGCACTACCACCCCTGGATAGCACTACCACCCCTGGATAGCACTACCACCCCTGGATAGCACTACCACCCCAGGATAACACTACCACCCCAGGATAGCACTACCACCCCTGGATAACACTACCACCCCTGGATAGCACTACCACCCTGGACACAGACCGGGCCGCGGGGGCGTTGACCCCCGAAACTCTCTCCAGGTAATCTCCAGGTAAACCACCCCAGGATAGCACTACCACCCCTGGATAGCACTACCACCCCTGGATAGCACTACCACCCCAGAATAGCACTACCACCCCAGGATAGCACTACCACCCCAGGATAGCACTACCACCCCAGGATAGCACTACCACCCCAGGATGCACTACTACCACCCCAGGATAGCACTACCACCCCTGGATAACACTACACCCCAGATAGCTCCCACCACCAGGATAGCATACCACCCCAGGATAGCACTACCACCCCAGGATAGCACTACCACCCCAGGAAGCATACCACCCAGGATAGCACTACCACCCCCAGGATGCACTACACACCCCAGACTAGCACTACCACCCCAGGTAGCACTACCACCCCAGGATAGCACTACCACCCCAGGATAGCACTACCACCCCAGGATACACTACCACCCCAGGATAGCCTACCACCCAGGATAGCGCTACCACCCCCAGGATAGCGCTCACCACCCCAGATAGCACTACCACCCCAGGATGCGCTACCACCCCAGGATAGCACTACCAACCCCAGGATAGCACTACCACCGCAGGATAGCACTACCACCCAGGATAGCGCTACACCCCAGGATAGCGCTACCACCCCAGGATAGCACTACCACCCCAGGATAGCGCTACCCCACCCAGGGTACACTACCACCCCGGATAGCGCTACCACCCCAGGGTAGCACTACCACCCCCAGGATGCACTACCACCCCGATAGCATACCCCCCAGGATAGCACTACCACCGCCCGGAAAAGCACTACCACCCCAGGATAGCACTACCACCCAGGATAGCACTACCACCCCAGGATAGCACTACCACCCCCCAGGATAGCGCTAACCACCCCAGGGGAGCGCTTACCACCCCAGGATAGCACTACACCCCAGGATAGCACTACCACACCCCGGATAGCGCTACCACGCCAGGATAGCGCTACCACCCCAGGATAAACGCTACCACCCCAGGATAGCACTACCACCCAGGATAGCCACTACCACCCCAGGATAGCGCACCACCCCAGGATAGCACTACCACCCCAGGATAGCACTACCACCCCAGGATAGCACTACCACCCCGAGATACACTACCACCCCAGGTAGCACTAAAACCACCCCAGGATAGACTACCACCCCAGGATAGCGCTACCACCCCAGGATAGCGCTACCACCCCAGGATAGCACTACCACCCCAGGATAGCACTACCACCCCAGGATAGCACTACCACCCCAGGATAGCGCTACCACCCCAGGATAGCGCTACCACCCCAGGATAGCACTACCACCCCAGGATAGCACTACCACCCCAGGATAGCACTACCACCCCAGGATAGCGCTACCACCCCAGGATAGCGCCACCACCCCAGGATAGCACTACCACCCCAGGATAGCGCTACCACCCCAGGATAGCACTACCACCCCAGGATAGCACTACCACCCCAGGATAGCACTAACCACCACCAGGATAGCACTACCACCCCAGGATAGCGCTACCACCCCAGGATAGCACTACCACCCCAGGATAGCGCTACCACCCCAGGATAGCACTACCACCCCAGGATAGCACCCACAAAAGCTGACTAACACTCAGTTATCTACTTTTGGGTGAATAGGAAAGCAAGTTTAAGGAGAGTTACCCATGCGTCCCCAGCCCAGGACTGAACCCGGGTTCCTCTGTTGTGATCTGAAGACCCTACCACTGAGCTACAAGTCGCATCTTATACTGAAATGAGCTGTGAATCATCTGGTTTTCGTTTTTCGTCTTCGTAACTTATTTTACTTCCTGGGTTTACGAATTTTTACACTGTGGCTTTGTTTCCCTTACGAAGGCTGTACTGGTGAAAATTATGTACCAGTACTCGAGTTTCACAGAGTACTTGTCAGTAATTATAACGCAGTATTCCTCCAGCAGTGATGCTGTTACGGAACATACAACTGGAGTATTTGCGAAAGTCGGATAATCTTTGAAAATGTGGGTGAAATGGAGGAGAAACTGGAGGTTATAGCCTGGTGACCTCTGACTGTGTTGACTCAAGTCTTGTCACGCTCTCTTATGTTTACCACAGGCTAGTTTTTGTACCCACTTTGTTCTCATCTGCTTTCCCTTGTTAGCCCACAACACTGCGTTCTAAATTAAGCTCTCTGAAAATGCTCTTGTTCTGGTTATAGTTGCTAGTAAAGACGAGGCTTGCAAGGAACAGTTGGTAAGAGACCCGTGTTATCCTTGACATTATCTGTCGTGATGGAGTCATAACTAATCTAGTGTACTATAACAATAATAGAATTATAATTATTTTAGTGGAAGGCCAAAATTCGTATGGAGGTCATACAGTTTTTTTGATAATGGGAAGAATGAAAGGTAACTCCAATGCCTTATATCAAAAGCTCTTCACCAGCATCAAGGCCCCTGTTTTTAAAGGACCAATATATTGAAATTACCGTATATTCCATGTACATTTTATATCAAAGATTCAAACCAAAGACCAGACTGAATTTAGTATCATTTAAAAATACATATATGTGGTTTGGGGTGGGGCAGGTTTGGCCCCTGTCCCTCTAGGATTTCCAGGTGTAAATTATAATGCATTTTTTTTTCGCCTGCATTACAAGGAGTACATAAATACGTTTCCATTAATTAAGATGCTTGACCGTACTTATACGCGCAGTGAAGGTTCTCTCTACATTCCCAGATCTGCAGTTTCGTCTGCCTTGAATGGAGTTTTTTAGTGACCCAGTGGCGGCTCGTGAAGGGGTGCTGTGGAACTGCAGCACCCCCTATTTTCACTCGATGTTATTAATAACATTCAGTATGAGTTTTTTTTTATTTAATTCTTTCTTTATACTTGTACATTAAATTTAAACAAAGAATTAAAAAGAATAGGGGTGCTGCAGTTCGGGAGCACCCCCACACAGCTGCCACTGGTTGTTACTGTACAATAGTATTCCAGTCTAGAGAGAACACTTGACGTAAAGAGGATCATTGAAGGTTCTCATCCTCTCAGTTGTGATAATGGTATGTTGTGAGCCCGGCGAAATCTGTGAATAATTTTGTAAACACCGTCTCGACCCACCCAGTAGTAAAAATAAGTACTGGGCGTTAACCAACTGTTGTGAGTCATATGTTGGGAAACATTGCTATGCAAATATGACATTCCAGACATGCGGAAGGGCATAACGTGGACAAAATTGTCAATGGGTAAGAAAATACCAGTATTGCTAGAGGCAAATTCCCGTGTAGGATAAAAGATAAAACCCCCCAATGTCAAGCATTTAAAACCCTCAACATGAGCTGCTAGACCCCCGGCCATATAAGGCCACTTGGCCCGAGATAAGTTAGTGGACGAGGTTGTGTCCAGTTTTTAAGCTGTACACCTGGAGGGCTTCTTGCAGTATATTAATAATTTTAAACGATCCACACCCACACAATTAGCTGTGTTGATAGCATTACCTTCATGCTCTCTTGTTAATGATAATTATCAACTAGAGTGTTTGTTGTGTGGTAGGTACGAGGTGGGGGTTATTACCAGAGGTCTGAAGGCCGTAGACACCTGTTAACTTCATGGATTTAACTCAGACATACCCTTAATTGCAAATAAAATTATACGCCAATCAGGAGTAATTTTGACCGACCTATAATATTTTCATTAGTTTTTGTGAGTATCCCTTTATAATTGACGGTGTCCCGTGGCCTGGTGGCTAAAATTCTCGCTTCACATGGCGAGTGTCCGGGGTTTCGATTCCCGGCGAGGGTAAAAAAACATTGGGCCGTGTTTCTTTTACAAACCCGGGTTTTCTATGTTCACCCATCAGTAAAAATGGGTACCTGGGTGTTAGTGGACTGGTGTGGGTCGCATCCCCGGGGTTGGTAGTGGACTGTTTTGGGTCGCATCCCGGGTGTTAGTGGACTGGTGTGGGTCGATCCTGGGACAAAACTGACCTAATTTGCAGGAAATGCCAGCATAAAGGGACTTGTATATAGTATGCTATGATGTCAGCTTTATCTGTATACCTTGTACATGTACTTGTATACCTTGTACATGTACTTGTATACCTTGACATGTACTTGTATACATTTACTGTACTTGTAATACATTGTAACAGTGTACTGGTAGTACATTTGTACATGTACTTGTATACCTTGTAACATGTACATTGTATTCCTGTACATGTAACTTGTATACCTTGTACATGTACATTGTTACCTTGTACATGTACATTGTATTACCTTGTAATGTACTTGTATACCTTGTACATGCACTTTGTGTACCTTGTAAATGTACTGTTCACTTGTACATGTACTTGTATCCTGTACATTACTTGTTATACCTTGTACATGTACTTGTATACCTGTGTACATGTACTTGTATCACCTTGTACATGTACTTGTATACCTGTAATGTACTTGTATACCTTGGTACATGTACTTGTATACCTTGTAACAGGTATTTTGTATAACTTGTACTGTACTTGTATTACCTTGTACATGTACTTTGTATACCCTTGTACATGTACTTGTATACCTTGTACATGTACTTGTATACCTTGTACATGTACTTGTATACCTTGTACATGTACTTGTATACCTTGTACATGTACTTGTATACCTTGTACATGTACTTGTATACTTGTACATGTACTTGTATACCTTGTACATGTACTTGTATACCTGTACATGTACTTGTATACCTGTACATGTACTTGTATACCTTGTACATGACTTGTATACCTTGTACATGTACTTGTATACCTTGTACATGTACTTGTATACCTTGTACATGTACTTGTATACCTTGTACATGTATTGTATACCTTGTACATGTACTTGTATACCTTGTACATGTGCTTGTATACCCTGTACATGTACTTGTATACCTTGTACATGTACTTGTATACCTTGTACATGTACTTGTATACCTTGTACATGTACTTGTATACCTTGTACATGTACTTGTATACCTTGTACATGTACTTGTATACCTTGTACATGTACTTGTATACCTTGTACATGTACTTGTATACCTTGTACATGTACTTGTATACCTTGTACATGTGCTTGTATACCCTGTACATGTACTTGTATACCTTGTTACATGTACTTGTATACCTTGTACATGTACTTGTATACCTTGTACATGTACTGGTAGTAAATAGTTGTTACTTGTATAGTGATCAATAAGAGATATGTCCAGTTAAGATAGACAGGTGTTGGACATGTCTTGTTCGCCAGGTTGTATATATTTTTTTCTTATTCACCGGTATTCTCCCGGCCCGGGTCTTTTCCAAGTAGTGGTGACCCGACCTTAGCTCCTTATCTGGGGAGTGTCTCGAGACCTAAGTCATCCATGGGAGGAGGCACAAGTACCCCCCTCATCTTTGGGGCCAACTGTCCCCGGCCTAGCCACAGTCCCCGCCCTCACGGGGCTCGCCTAGGGAGAAGCTAGGCCTCTGGTCTGCCATCTGCCCCGCCTCAAAGTGGTTTCGTGGGATGGCAGTCTTATGAGCGCAGGTGGTAAGAAGCTCAGGCCTTCTACACACTGTATAGTTGACGAGTAAGCAGGGTTTGGAAGGAGAGACCAAGAGTTGGTTTATATTTTGTATTATGTCCCCCATACCCATCTGTGGGCGTCGAGATAACTGTTTAATTCCTCTTTTTCTCCCTGTGGGCGTAGAGATAACCTTGGTTCCTCGTCTCTCCTGTGGGCGTAGAGACAACTGTTAGTTCCTCGTCTCTCCTGTGGGCGTAGAGATAACTGTTCCTCGTCTCTCCTGTGGGCGTAGAGACAACTGTTAGTTCCTCGTCTCTCCTGTGGGCGTAGAGACAACTGTTAGTTCCTCGTCTCTCCTGTGGGCGTAGAGACAACTGTTAGTTCCTCGTCTCTCCTGTGGGCGTAGAGACAACTGTTAGTTCCTCGTCTCTCCTGTGGGCGTAGAGATAACTGTTCCTCGTCTCTCCTGTGGGCGTAGGCCGTAGAGAGACGAGGAACGAAAAGTTAAGTGACAGCAACAGCCAGTATTAAACAGCACGTACCACGAAAAACTTTTCAAGTACTAGACAATCTAGGTTGTCCTTTTTCGTCCGCGTTTACCCAAAAAAATATTTTTGTAAGAGAGGTTACTCTATTAAAATCACGGGGAAGAGGTCAGCCTGACACACCACTTAGGTAATGGGAGGTAATTAAATCCAACCTTCTCAACATTTTCCACTTAATTTTACACGTCACTATGCTTCCTATATATATACTCACGTACTCTCTGCTCAGGTAGATCTGTTTGTGACATGATAAAGTCCATTGTGTGGGCGAAACGTTGTCAATAAAGGATCAGCGCACCACAGAATCCAAAGATGATGCTAGTAAGAGCTCCTCTTGTTATTATATTCTTGCCGGTCAATATATATTACACAAAAACCTGTGTGGTAACCCGTCGACCCATGACGTTTTTCCCAGCAGTGACCACCAGGCTTCCCTCTGCTCGTTGTCACCCCCAGTGAACCATTACGGTGAAAGTGTTGCTGCCGGGTCACCTCTTGGACAAGACCCGGACCGGCGATCCACTACGAACTCGGGAGTGGGATGGTGTTCACTCATTATTAGACGGCTCTTATACCCACCCACATTCATTCTCTCTCTCTCTCTCTCTCTCTCTCTCTCCTCTCTCTCTCTCTCTCTCTCTCTCTGTCCTTGGAGGGACACAACCCGGCTTATGAAGCACTTAAAAAATATATATGTTGGTCCAGTTTTCTATTGAAATTTTGTAGCCTCGTTCCTGCAAGAGGATATCTTTTAATAATGTATGTACTCAGTATTGGTATTGTTTGCCTTAAGGTAAAACTGGAACTTTAAATATAGGCTAGATAAATACATGAGTGAGAGGTGTTGGATTTGAGTTGGACTGGCACATGAGCTAATCTGGTTATAAAAGCTTATATATCTTGGGCTGATATTTTTGCTAGTGGGTTTGGGTTTTAGAAGGATCTCCCTGGTATGGGCCAGTAGGCCTGTTGCAGTGTTCTACCTATTTTTTTTAACCACCTAACAGTAAGTCCTAAAACTCACTTGCATTTGGTTTAAACCTCACCCGTTCCGTGGTTTGTTTGCAGTCTTGCTTATTACGATTTCGTGAGTTATGTTTATGTGTTGTATTTCAGGTGGAAAGAAAGTGACGTTCCTAGTGGGAGGTGATGGAGAACCCGTGGTGGTGGTGCTTGGTGGTGCCAGAGATGATGTAGACACCATTCTTCAGGAGAGAGCCAGGAGACAGGCTGACCTCGAAGCAGACCAACTCAAGTATGTACTCTGGACTCCTTCAGGGACTGATTACCCCAAACTTATCTTCATCTTTCACTGTTCTTCTCTGTATTGGACTGAAGAAGTCACTGGCTGGATGTTGCACAGTGTCTCAGTCTACAACTTGTCGGGTTCCAATACCATTTCCATTAGTCTTTTGCTGTTCATTACTCTATTAAAGATTGCAATACCAGCTGTCAACATCCAGCAATATCTGGCTCTTAGAGAAAAGCAATAACTCTGGTTGCTGACCTGAATGAGAGAGAGAGAGAGAGAGAGAGAGAGAGAGAGAGAGAATGGGGAAGGGAGGAAAAAGAGGTATGGAAATAGAGGAGTGTAAGACACTCCCACACACATCTGTCTGTACATAGTACTGTTGATAACAAAGGTTTACAGATATCTCTGCTTCCCTACGCCCTTACGTACTCCACCCTTCTGTGCCATCTGAGGATGAACACACCAGCACCTCCCTGTTGTATCCCATCCTCGCCTCACACACCTGCTATTGATAACATTCTATGAGAGTATGCAGGATCTGCAAAATATTTTGTTAATGTGGTGACTTAAAGGCCGTGGTGAGTGAAGTTTTGAATGGCTTAGGATGGAGTTCTTATCGGCAATGGCGTGTCAGATATTTGGACTTGAATGTACTTTCTTCACGGTGGTGCAAAGTCTTTATGGTCGTATGTGGAAAAAGACACTTGTGTACAGTTTAGGGCATTTATTAGAAGGAATGTCTCGCCGTTTTGCCAGGAGTTAGCTACACTGTTACTACTACCCTCTCATAGCTTTCCACCTGACTCCTGCCACTATGAAGATTGAGACACTTAATTCATCACATCCTGCCACTATATTTGCTCGTTTTTTACTTATCTCTACTACGACTGAAGGAGCCACTCGTGGCAAAACGCTTCCTTTAATGTCCTGATGTGTACATAATTGTCTTTTTCCACATCTCGTTATCACCATATTATTTTCCAGTTGTGTTCACTCAGGATGAGCGACGCTAATAGGCTCGACCTTCGAAGTGAAATCTTAAAACGTTGGTCTTTCCCATTTCACCCTCCATACTTTCCATCCCTCGTTCTCCCTCCTGTACTCTCCATTCTCTTCTTTCCTTCATTTTGAGTAGCTTTGGGTAGGGGTCGTTTTGATAAGGGCTTGCCTTGTATGGGCCAGTAGGCCTTCTGCAGTGCTCCATTCTCATGTTCCCTCCCCTATTTTCTTTTCCTCTCTTTAGTTCACTTTCACACCAGCAGGTGCGGTGCAAGAATGGTTTTCATTTCTGTTTAAAATATTCCTTTAATTTCTGACTCGTCCCTGGGCCATTCCTAGCATGTGGTCGTCTTCTGAGGGCACCTTCTGCCCCTGCTGTGGCAGGGCAGAGTGTAGGGACACAAGACAAGGTTCAGTGCACATATTTCAGAGAACAAGTGGTGCAGTAGAGTACCTTTAAGGAGGCGCCACTTACCTAATGGTGCTGGTTATCTTGCAAAAGGTAATAAACCCAGGTGGCTCCCCAACCCCAGGTGGCGCCCCTACCCCAGGTGGCGCCCCTACCCCAGGTGGCGGTCAGAGGAGTGAGGGAGAGAACGTGAGATAGCAGACTGAGGGAGGGAAGGTAGGGATAAGGTACGAGAAATGGGAACATAAGACTGAAGGAACACTACAGTAGGCCTATTGGTTCATACTACGTAGGTTGAACTGGCACCCAAACCCACTTGTATACCCATCTAACCTATATCTGAAGACACCTACAAGCTACGAAGTGGAGTGTATAGGATAAAGAATTGAAGGTTCGAGGGAGGGGTTTATAAGGTCAAGAAACTGAAGGTTCGAGGGAGGGGTTTATAAGGTCAAGAAACTGAAGGTTCGAGGGAGGGGTTTTATAAGGTCAAGAAACTGAAGGTTCGAGGGAGGGGTTTATAAGGTCAAGAAACTGAAGGTTCGAGGGAGGGGTTTATAAGGTCAAGAAACTGAAGGTTCGAGGGAGGGTTCGAGGGAGGTTGACCCCCGGAACTCTCTCCAGGTAAACTCCAGGTAAGTAAGTAAGTTTATTCAGGTATACACAAATACAGTTACATAGAATTATCATACATAGCAGCATATGTGTAGAGAACCTAGGATAACCCAAAAAAGTCAGACAGTGACTTATTTCCATTGGGGAGAGATGTAGCAGGCAATGGGAAAGGTGAGCTACGTGATGAATTTGTGTGGAAGACCATCATGAGGGAAGAAAGAAGTCTCACAAGTATCACGTCTGGTATTACAAAAAAGTAATTTTTAAAAGAAGATGGTATTAAGATTTACTCCTTTTGTAATAAAGAGTTCGGGATACATAAATACACACATTAATATAAATTAATCTTTAATATATAAAAATCAACTATCTTTGGTCTAGAGGTATTTGAACTATGATATAATAATAATATGTACATGTTACTATAATAAATTATAATCAGCATTTTACTAAAATATAATTAATAACCCTACACAGGGTACAACTCTTGACACTACTGTCACTATATATATATATCTCTATGCTAAAACAAATTATAAATAACATTTTTATAATAATAAATTACAATCAACTGCCTCTCACGACACGAAGTCAGTCACACGACACTGTTCAGTGTACACTCAACCAGGCCATCTTCAGTGTCCCACGACACCCTTTTCATCTCAGTGTTCCACTACGGTCCTATGCATATCTCAGTGTTCCACTCCATCGTACGTCCCTCAGTGTCACACTACGGTCCTGGCCCAGTTCAGTGTAACACTCCAACCTTTTCTTCATGTAATGTCCCACTAAACAGCATCTGAACGACTCCGGCCCACAGTTGATCAACGTAGACGGTGAGTCCACAGACATCACCGGTAGTCCAGTAAATCCTCTCCAAAGGCGGTTGACACACCGCTAGCCGAACACCATGCTGCAAGCTCACTGAATGCGGCCGTCAAGTAACTGAGGCCAACAGACTCAGTGAGCTGCGGTGAGCGGTTCTTCTAACGCCAGTAGATATGGTACGATTCGGTGGTCAGGTACCTACTGCATAGACGTGTACCCTGAGGAGTTCAGGTACTTAATGTTGAAGCCAGTAGACGTGTACCCTTCGGTGGTCAGGTACCTACTGCTTAGGTGTGTACAGCGAGGCGCTCAGGTACATAATATTTCTAAAGCCAGTAACGTGTACCCTTCGGTGGTCAGGTACCTACTGCTTAGATGTGTACAGCGAGGCGCTCTGGTACATACTGTTACTAAGCCAGTAGACGTGTACCCTTCGGTGGTCAGGTACCTACTGCTTAGGTGTGTACAGCGAGGCGCTCTGGTACATACTGTTACTAAAGCCAGTAGACGTGTACCCTTCGGTGGTCAGGTACCTACTGCTTAGGTGTGTACCGTGAGGCACTCAGGCTCTTACTGCTCTAAGGCCGGCTCAGCAGCCCCCACATTGGGTTTGATGACGCACCCAGTGGTACTGCCGGCCGGCAGGTTAACTATTTAACCGCTAGTTTGGCAGGGGCCGCAACATCTGGGTAATTTGATCTTATTGAGATGGCTTCCCCAGTGACTTGAGTGTGGCGTCCACATGTGTCATGTCTTACTGGCTCTTACCTTACTTTATTGAGTCATTAAGAGAGAGAGAGAGAGAGAGAGAGAGAGAGAGAGAGAGAGCCACCTTTCGGTCCCCACGTAGTACAACGTACAACTACATCATTTTTCGCGCCTAAACCATGGTAGGTGCGGTAGTGGCTGCCCCCTCTGCGGTGTAGGCAGCGCCCTTGTCGTTCCTGGCTGCAGGGGTGTGAAGTGGTGCTGTCACCCTCGCAAACAATTTTGGGTGCCTGTGATCGTCAAGTGGGGTTAGTCTGAGAGAAGGATAATCTGTAGGCATCGAGCTACTTAAAAAAAACATAACGACCATTTTCGCGAAGTCTTATTGCCAAAGACAAAAAGGGAGACTTTTGGAGTACAATTGTGACTTTTTTGGTGTAGCATTGAAGGGAGGACAACGAATTTTTTTCAAACTGCTAACGCAAGGGTTTTGAATTTTAATCCCCAGGTTTCAGGACGTGAGTCTTAACGCCCAAAAACCCACTTCACTGTAAAATGATAGTGTTTCACGGTTTTATACGGGATAAAATTACGAAAACTTTCCCTTTGAGGCGGAGAGGCAGATAAAAGGGAAAAAATTTTTTGAGAAGTATGGGACGTGCTTTTATGCCAACATGGACGGGGGGCGGCAGGAGCCTATGCTTTTTTCCAGGGGGGTTTTTTAAATTCAAAATGATTTTGAGGCCCAAAATACCATCCATTTGTCCCTAAAGATTTCAGGACGCAGGTAATGGTAATGTCCAGGACAACGACTACGTGCCGCCTATGTGGTGAGAGAACAAGGGGCGCCCTGTGCAAGGAAACATGTGCCGGGACCTGTGGTGTCGCAGCCCCGCTTCAAAGATGGCAGGTGAGGAACAAATCGGAGGGAGGGGTGGTTTTTTGTGGAGCGAGATAGGGATGGGCACACGGACGGGGGATTGGAGTCCCCCCCCCAAACGCCTGATCAGGTGTTCTCCTGTGGAAAAATGAGGACAGCAAGTACAAGGAAGGTTCATGAGATTGAGGAGGAATTGGTGAGGGTTTTGAAACGTTGTCCCACCAGAGAGGGATGTTACATCTGAGCGTGATGTCATTGGAGAATCGTCGTTCCAGAAAGCGAGACATGATTTTTTTGGGAGTATGGGGGTTGGAGTCATCCATTCTCATTACACCATTCTCAGGTGGAGGGGGAGGTTTCGAGAGGAACATCTGATCAAGATATGTGTAACATGCTGTCAGAGAAAAGGGGGCTACATCAGATTTGATGACGCCCTTTAGCCGCACAAAGGGCCCTGGGAAAAAAGACTGAGGTCAAGTGTGAAGGTAGTGGTGTAGGGGTGTAGCCATATGGAGGCCCCCGGAAGAAGGGGGGAGGGAAAGGAGCCCCAAAGGTGTTGCAAAATTTC